TAGTCCTGATGGCAGAGAAATAGCACAGGCTCTAAAGTTGCACCTTTTCTTGCAGGACTGTAAAGGAGGGCTCAGGTAGCCTGTGGCTAGGCTTGAGGTTGATGCCCTGAAGGTGTTCTGTGTGAGACAGTCAGTGCTGGGACTGAATGTAGGACAGAAGGGCCCCAGCCCAGCTCCAGTGGCTGAGCTGAGGGGCTGCCTCAGGTGGAGCAGAGTTGCTGGGGTTTGCTCAGTGGGTGCATGCCCAGCTTCCCAGGCTGGCTGTGCCCCTGGAGAGCAGCTGCTCCTGGGACTTGTGCTAAAGCAGCTGTAAATATGGCCCAGAGCCCTATGGAGAAGGCAAAGGCAGGAGCTCAGGAGAGTGAGTTGTGGTTTTGAGGGTTTTCTTCAGGTTTGCTTTGCTGGGGGTGTTTCCTCTTTGCTGTTGAGAGAGGCCCTGTCCTCTTGGGAGGCTGGAATGGTGGTTGTGCTGGGGCTGGTTCCGTGTGGGATTGGACTGCTGTGCTGCAGAGGTGGGAGCCTTGTTTCCGTAAACCAGAGGGAGACATTTGGAGCTACCTCACAGGGAAGTCTTTGGGCAGCATTTTTTCTCAAGAAGCAAGGGCTAATATTCCAACCCATTCTAACTACAGCCTGCTTTTGAAGGGCAAGCCATTAGTTTTCTGTTTAACAGCTGTCTGCTTCAGTTTAGATTTCCTTAGTCAGATGCAAATCCCTCATATTGCCTCCATTCTCCTTGACTGCTCAGATAAATTTCCCCACAACCACCGCCTCCCTTACATTTCCCAAACCAGAAATGAGCAGGGATTTGCAGCAGAAGCAGAAGGTCTTCAGACTGCTTGGTCTGACACAGGCAGACACACAAATGGTTTTTGTCTCCTGTTCAACACTAGCTAGTGTGCAGCAGAACTGATTTCTTTCCACACTTAATTCCATTCTTCTGGAATTGTGAGAAGCCTTGATTAGGTATTTTGTCCAATAGATTCTGATGAGGTACAGAGCTGGGTGGATATTTGACTAGTCCTGCATCTGAACTCCTGCAGAAACAGCTCATCAGTTCAGCTCATATTTTTCAGCAGAAAGAGCAGGATGAGATGTCATGAGGCTGTCCCGGATTACATGCGACGTTTCTGACCTAATTCACTTTCCTTTTTCCTTCTTCTCCCCCCTCCCTCCAGTAAATCCAATATCTGACTTGCACAACTACGTTGAAAATTATAAATATCTCTTCTACCAAGCACTGTGAAAAGCCATTGCATCACAAGCCTTACAAAGAGATGTTGAAAAAGATCTTTCATTAAAACTGTATTAGGTGCTAAATGAATCTACAGAGCCATACTCAGAGGCTCAGATATTGCATGTACGGGGAAGGAGATTATATAAAGTTTGTGCCTGGCAATCTGCTACTTAAATGGAACATTAATGTAATGGAAAGCATCTGCTTCCATCAGCAAGGCTACCATCAAAAACTGTACAGAGTAATCTCTGGCTGTTAATAGCATTTCACAGGAATCACCACAGACAGCACAGAAAACATATCCACTGCAGCACCATCCAGCAGTATCCAATGGATAGTCCCTTCTCTTCAATGAATTTAATGCAATTAGAAAGGTCAGCACTTGAATTTTATTCTGCATCTCAGATCCCTGGAATATGAGGGTAGGGTAACAATCTGATTCATTTTATCTCTCAGAAACACCGAAATTTCAGGCATGGAGTGCGGTTTCACACCCCACCCCCCTTCATGTTAATGATATGGAATTGAAGTTGTACTTAATGGATTAAGATGAGGAAATTAAATTGAACTTTCCAAGCCAAATCCTTAACTGGTGTAACTCCCATGTAGTTCAGACTTAAATAACATCAAATTAACAATATAAACTGCCAGGGAGTAAAAACAACAATCACAGTAAGAGGGAACACAGTACTTAGCTATGACATTTCACTGACTAAATAAAATACCAGGTTTCAGCAATTTTAGCA